AAATAAATGGTATCTCTTATAATTGTTGATTCATATAAACATTTACATAAAGTTTCATGTACAATAATTATCGATGTTAGACAACAAAAAATTCTTGACCCCCTCCCCTAAATACACGTATTTGAATGTAGTTTTTTCCTATCAGACATGTATCTTGCCCTAAAAGCAGAATCATGTTTATTATTTTTTTTATTTATTATGTACTATCGCTTCCATTTGTGTGTTTTTTTTTGGTCGGGGGGGGGGGGGGGGGGGGGGGGGGGCTATCGTAGCGGAATAACGTAACACATGCATTTTAATTTCGAAACGCATACATGAGAATGTACTGCATAAGAAACAGTGCGTATGTTTATTCTTTGTTATATTGTTGAACAGTTCAAGTATTTACATCAGTAAATGATTGTATCTTGTCTCCAGTATGTGTTTCATGTGCTTATAAAAATATCATCATTTAAAATCGCACAAAGAAAAGATGCACATTCAGAAGAGTAGTACCTGGGAAAGGGGCAGGGTCAAATTATGTCTGGAGACCTTCATCTACTTTTTTATTAGATTAAATAAACTTTTTCATCGCTGCTCTTCTCCTCCTACTCCTCGATTCCGTCAAAATTACCACCTTGCCACATTTTATTTTAATAATTGAAGCTAAACCAGCTAAACTACCAGTCTTTAGTGAAGGGCCTTTTCTAACAAAATAATTGTCCCAATTTCACATTTATTGTAGTATTAAAATAGGTTGTATATAATATAGATTGACAAATAAAGTATGTCCTGGACTATTCATATTTCAAAAGCTTTTTTCTTTCTGTTTAATTGTCACCCCCTTAAGTAACATTTTTACATCACCTCCGTAGGAATTCCTCTCTAAACTAATAATCCTTTGAATCTAATTTTTTACCCTAATGATCTAATTTGTTAAAGCTGTCCGATCCATGCTATGTCTGATCACCCTAAATGTGATTTGGAAAGCCGGTACATGTAGGCAAACCATCTAATAGTAAATGAATGTATTGGAAAGGCATTACTATCTTATATATCCTATGTGTGCAAATCGTAAGTTGGACACCTTTTTTTCAGTTTATTTGGATCACCTCGGTATTGTACCTCAAAATGCATTCAGATGTAATAGAATTTCGGACACATTTGACATTGGGTCGGACACTTTTCTTTAGATATAAAATGATGCATATACGTATGCGCAGATCTGTAGGGGAGAGGAGGGGGGTGTTCCGGAGTTATTCAATTTCAGAGTTATTAGATCTATATAATAAAATGACCGATAGATGTCCTTGAAACACTCCTCCACACATGCACACAAGAAACACGGACCCCTGTAAATTGGTAAGAAGAGTCTATTTAGCGGCTTGTTCAAAAGAAGTGTCTTACACCCGCACCCCCTTTCAGGGAATTTTATTGTCAAAACATCCCCCCCCCCCTCTTTCCGCGCATTGGAATTTTTTTCTTTTTTCCCTTTTTGTGTACGTCAAAAAATTTTAAGTCATTTTATTTTTTAAACGGGTATATGATATGTAAGCTGTTAGCTAAATAAAATCATTGATAATTGGATCGAGAACACGTCAATTAACCGATGTTGAATGCATAAATACCGTATAATTTCTTCATATAAAATATCAGTGTGTGAACAAGTCAAACTATTTCCGCTTCATGTATATCTAAAATGCGCATAATTTTTGCGTATTGTATGTATTTTAGATAATAACCTTTGAATTAGGCATTTGCATTTTTATTGATATAATAAATCTGGAAAAAAAATTACGTTCAACATGTATTACTGGCAAAAAATCGGAAACTGGATTTCGACACTTTTCAATTATCTATTTTGAAATTATTTTGACAAACTTCTTCAAATTATGTATGAGATGCAGTCGACGTCAAAAACGCCATATTATGATGTCATCATTGATCTACATAAGCACAAATGAAAGGAACGTAATTTTAAATTTTATATGAAACAACACATGTTAAATGTGAGTTTAAGATATTCTAGAACAAAATAATTGACAAATTAGGGATTATGTAATTATCAAGAATAAATCTCATATACTAATAACTAATTTAAGCTATTTACGTATATAATGAACTCATAACTACTGTTAAAATGGAGGGCCATGCTTCATTTTCTGATAGCTCGTCGTTCATAAAATGTAAAATTCATATTGGCCACACTTGAGTACCTCTAAGATATTTTGCTTAAAAATGCATATATGTAATATTTTTCTCTCTGCAAAGTTTGGAATCGGTACTTGAGTGTGGCCACATTCAAATTTTGAAATAACTACCGTAAAATCGACGTTTTTTAGCAGTTTTTAACTTCATTTGTATATTTGATGCTGCGCATGTGCTAAAGACGGTGGTCTGTGTGGCAAAAAACTGTATGTAGAATAGCATGACATTGTGCACTACAATATAACATATGACAGGCTTAGTGATTTCAAACTTAAATTTTGTCTAAAATTTAAGGCACATTTTGATGGTTCGTGGTTCTAGCTCTTTTCAGTTTCTGCTCTTTAACTTTTGTAGGGATGTATGTATATGGTTGAAATTGCATGTGCATGTATTTTACCAGAAAATACAGGTCAGGTTTGAATTTGGTTGTGATCTGATGATTTTTGACAGAGTTATCCCTCTTGAACTTAGAAAAATAAGAAATTTTCAGTTTCCACTCTCTTACTTTTGTAGGAATGTATGTATAAGGTTGGAATTGCATATGCCAGAAAATATGCCAGGGATTACCAGAAAATACTAGTCAAGTTTGAATTTAGTTGTGGTACGATGATTTTTTTACAGTGTTATGCCCCTTGAACTTCAAAAAAAATCTTTTGTGCAAACAAATGTGAAACTAAATATGACATTTGAAATTTTGGCTGCCTGTAGGGGCATTCGTGGCGTTACGACACATCTAGTTATCAAATTTCGTCACAGAGTATCCTTGTGCAAAGGCTTTCATTCATACCTATTCCAATAGGGAAGTGACCCTATAGCAAGGGGAGGTAATTGTGGAAATATAAAAAAGTATTGGTTGCTGAGGATGCATTGTAAATTAAAAATTGTTCAAGGCAAAGGGTATGGTCTCAAGATCTCTTCAAATTTGACCCTAAAAATTATTTTGCACACTATGAGAACTAGGATCATCAGATCTTGTGAGTTGATGCATTTTAGGACCTCATATTATGTTTGACTTGAAAGTAGGTCATAGTGACCTACTTTTTGAATTTTGCAGGTCTTCATTTTCATATTGATTTAGGTGCATATCTTGGACACTTTGAAGCCTATGATCATCAAATCTTTAATTTAAATAAATGAGTTTATTGAAGTGTATAATTTTTTTCAGAAATGTTCGATTCCATTTTTCAAAAGCATAAAATAGATTTACATTTACTTTTATGTCATTTACACATTAATGTATAATGGAGACTTGACATATTCATATTCAAAAATCTTTTTTTTATTGCTCCAACAAACCCATTTTCCAATAAATATGCTTATTAATAACTGGCAACTTTAAAAACACATTATTAACCAATAAGTCATTCAGTAAAATAAATGAATCAAATGTGTTGAAGATGCCATTACTAAAAACATAATTTTATAAAAGTACAACTTTTTGGTGATCTTTGAAAATTGAGAAAAATTATCGTCTCAGAGCGGGGAATTGCCCTCCCCTTCTACATCCTCTTTCTTTATTGTCAGCAATTCACTTTCAGATTTGCGGGTCCCCTAAATCATATTAATATTATGCATACATTCCCAAGTTGCAGGTATTCATCTCCCCCCCCCCCCCCATTACATGTATGAACCTTGAGATTAGAGCAGGGCTAAAACTGGGGATCAGATGTTAGCAAGTGGAATATAAATCTGCTGCAGAATAGAAGGTCATGTTAGTCAGCTAGATAAAATATTGAAGCATCTCCTTGTTGTAAAATTGGATTTAACAATGACATGAACCTTGAGGTTTAAGAAGGGCCACAATATTGGGGACAAAATATTTTTTCATGTGAGTGAGGAGAGAACCCAAAATCTTTTTGTTTTATCGGTAGTGCCAATGTGACTCAGGTAAGCATTGTGGCCTATGTATCAGTTTAATTCTTTTCACATTTTTGGCTTCTTAAAATAACCACAATTAAAGTATTTTAGATTGAATGAAATTCAAGTTTCTTTTTGTTTTAAATTGAATGTCAATGACACCCTATATTGAATTATTAATGGGAATGAAATAAGAATTCATAATGAGAACATAGGGTGAGGTTATTAAAGAATCACATTTGTCAACTCAGGTGAGCTAAAAAGAACAGTTAACACCTCTCCATTTTATTAAGGATTAATAAAAATGTATCCTAATAGATTAGTTGGTCAGTAAATAAAATTGCTGAGCCAAAGTTCTGGGGAAATTACCTCTTCTTTGTGAGCATTTAACTGTGTCTGATATTCTGAGTTAATGTCTTTCCTAAGGGCTGTGCGAGTTGTAATCAGTTGTATTAATGAAACCTGAACAAATGTTGTAACAGATCTGAACCATCTTGACCTATGTAACACCTGATAGACAGACTTCTGGTATAATTGTGACATGTGGACAGGTAAATGAAAGTTTCCGGAAGAGAACAGAGAAAGTTTAAATGTGATTTGGTATAGCTGATTGTCAGGAGGATGGGTGTTATATGGATAGTGTTGCTATTAGATTCCACTGTTACTGTAAAAACTTAAGGAAGAAATTGCTGAGTTTTGCAACTTGTCCTCATTTAATTATTCTCACTGTGAAATTTTTTTTTTTTCTGATATGAAATCAAGATGATTTATCTTATTTTTCAATGACCTATATATACATCCTCCTGAGTTAATCATTATATCTGTAGCCCATGTGAATCCTCCAAACACGGATGTAAATTTGATGAAGTGTTGTTTCTGGCTATTTCCTTAGTTTATATTTACATCAGTTGTTTATATGTTATGTCCTGGTTTTAACATAATTTTGTTTGTTTTAGGATTCACTCCCTCTTCATTTGTTGTAAGGCCTAAGGATATGAACCAACTAAATCAAGGCTTTAGCTGCGTATACTGTGTATATGCTGCCCCGCTCCGTCATCAAGTACGCCTACACTGCTATGACAAGCATACAAACCACCCAGCCTGCCTCATGGAATTCCAAGTCAGTGAGGAGGATAAATTCTACCGTAATGATGACACTGAAGAAGTTCAGCTGGACTTAACTGAAGACAGCAATGGTGATGTAAAAACCGAGACAGAACCTATGGAATATGAGGGTAGTGGTGCAAAAAATGTCGATAAATCTGTCAGTGAGGCTGACAACGATGAAACAACTGGAATCAGTGATGTGGCTTCATCAAAGGCAAACGGAGGTCTGAATGGACAGGTGAAGCGAAGTGACAGTTTAACAAGTGGAGGAGAAACTGACACTGATGAACTTCACTCATCAGAAATCATAGACAATGGCGGCAATCGATTCCAACGAGGAAGAAAGAGGAAAATCAAATTTGATAACCCACTAAAAACTTTGGTGCACAAGTTGAATTCCAGCCAGATTAATCTGGAAGACACATTTCACGGCAGCTTGGATGACGTGGATTCGTTTCTAAATAAGTATGGAGTTCGAACTCTGAACATGGACATGTTAACACAGCAGCAGTTTTCTGACTTTATTGAGCGATTTGGGAGCAATCTACAACCAGTTTAATGTGATTTGTAATTTTGTTTCTGTTTTTGTTCATTTTTAATCATTTTGGTTCATGCGTTTACTCATAACACAACACTATATGAATGAGGATTTCATTTCTGCATGCTTTGTGTATTTTTCTATACTGCTCATAGGAATGAACATAATTTTCTTTTTTTCTGCAACATCTGCATACTAGTGGCACCATGTGTCAAAAAACTATGAACTGTATCAGATACAAAAATACACAGTTTATAAATAGTCATAGATTTTTGAAGCATTAAGTCATTGATATAAGTTTATAGTTTGTGTAAAACTTTTATTTATTAGCAGGTTTTAAAGATTTGTATATTCATAAACCTAAGATATACATTTTTTCACATGTAAAATCCTAATTTTGATACACCCAAGAGTCAATTTAAGCTGCCAATGAGGTAAAACAAATCTAGAAACAGTGTGGTTCATTAAAAGATAATATATTTTTTGGTGAGTGTGAACAGGTAAAACAAATCTAGAAACAGTGTGGTTCATTAAAAGATAATATATTTTTTGGTGAGTGTGAACAATCCTTATTGTTTATTACGAATCTATAAAAGATATTTTTATGCTCTTTGATTAATTTGAAAATGTAATTTAATACACTAGAGATATGAGTACATCCTTAAGGCACAAGTGAGAAGTACTTTGTGATGTAATGCACACTTGATGACAATGCACTTATTGCATTCATCCATTTTTCATCATTGTGTATTGATAATACATGCATTTTGTGCTGATGCATTCCTTGGTTAGCTGTTCCTTTAGGACATCTGACATTTCATTAGCCATTACTGTTCAAATTTTGTGCCATTCTTTAAATCTTAATTTATTTTTTTGAAGGATATTTGGGATTGTTCACTTATGATGAGAGCTTATAACTTCATCACATATTTTTGCCAGAGAAACAAAACCTGTTTATTTGTGTAGTTATGCCCCCAAACATAGTTTGTTAACATGTTTTTTACAGCTTCTTCTTCTTTTCCCATACTTTTCTGAGTGCAAGTGTTCTCAGAAACTACAGCTCCGATTGATTTGGAACTCTTTAAGGTAAAGACACATGTTTTATGGATGTGTGGAGTAAAGTACTATATTAGGTTATGACCAATATCTGCCTCCAAAATTAAACTGCAATGGAGAACTCCAAAATTCTGTTCTAAACCAGAAGAACATCTGCAGACTTGAAAGCATTACCTATTTTCGTCAGTCATAATGCCATATGTTAAATATGACTTCAAGAAGATGACGTAAATTCAAAATTTCAATGATTTTGTGAGAAAAAGGTGTATTTTAAGTTGATTTAAGAAATTAATTTAATTTTGAGAATTCATGAGAACACCAGCATATTTCATGAATCACGTAATGATGAATATGATGAATATGCAGGCGTGAACTGTTGTACTTCATGTACCTCATGAATTCTCAAAAATTAAATTCATTCCTTATATTTACATTATTTTTCTGATGATTTACTAAATATTTTTGTCATTCAACAATCGTCTTTGAAAAAAAAAAAGTTTGCACTATTTTTTTTACTTTTAGGTCACAATGGAAATATTCTCACTCGTCCCACGGTAGTTCTTGTGAACATGAACTTTTTCTAATTTGCAAAGAATCTTGGGGAAAAAATATTTGGAAATGTAAATGTTTTTTATTAAAATTCATCGAGCGCATGCACAGGTCTGCTGCCTTTGATCTTTTTGATATAATGCATATAATAGAATTATTATGTGAATGATGTGTGCATATTGTTCTGGGGCAAGCTTGTGCTCAGTAAATTGTACATTCAAATTTTAGCGAATTTTGTCAATTTTGACCTCTTTCGTGAAAATAATAGAAAATCCAAACAGTTTGTGAAGTCACAGCAACATGAATTGCAGATAATCTATTTCCAAACTATAATAAATTTTGTCATTAAGATTTTGAATATAATACAAATGTATACATTTCGAGGTATTTTCAAAAGCTGGCTTTTATTGGGGTTACCGTATATAGTTCTTTGATTTTGCTATCATATGCTTGCAAGTGTGCACTATATTTTGTTAAAATCCAAAAAGCTACAACTTTCCTTCTTTTTGATAAAATGTTCTTAAATTATATAGATAAGTGAAAAGTCTACATGTCAAGAGTCAATAAACTTGCATGAGAGAATGTGCATGCTCTGATTGATTGATACCAAAGTCCTTATAACGTCCATGCTTTTTTGACAAAATACTTTGAAATTTAAAATATGTGTATATATTACAAGATATTCTGTGCAAGTATATACAAGAAAACATGAAAACAGAGACAAGTGTATGAACTGAAATCTAATTAGCTTAACTTAGAAGCAGGGGTATAACTTTCTTATGATAGTCTAAGAATGCAAGATTGGCAATTAGTAATGTATTATGTATCCATCTATCATCATCAAAAAAAAAAAGGATGCAGGGCATGCATGCATGTGTGCTGAATTTGGATTGGTTAATGCTTAAATTCTTATATTTTTCTTATTTTTAATTAAAATCATTTGAATTTTAAATGTATGCATTCAGAAAGCATGGTTACAGAGTGAAATCAATCATAAAGCATGGCAGCTTGTGCCGCCAGATATAAATGGTGATTGGCTAATCTGTGTATGGCTAAGAATGTGTTGTAACATTAAATTATGCTCATAAAGAATAAGTACTGTCTGTGTACTTGGGGAGGGGAAGGGGAACCTTTCATTATCCATACATTTCTTGAAAATTGGTTGATGTTTTTTGCTATTCACTACCTTAGGACCAAAATATCAATTGCAAAATGTAAAATAGGTTATGTTTATGTAGTTAAGAAAGGGGCAATAGAGTTGTTTCACAAAATGGTGAAGTTGTGGATCAACACTAAGTAATATGCAGTTTAAGAAAAGAATTCTCAACAGATATGATTTACAATGATAATATTCCTTGATAAATGTTTTTTTATGCAAAACCAATTAAGTAAAATTTGGTATAATTTTTTTTCCCTTTACATTTGTTTGAATGAGGGAAATGTCTGTTTGAGCTTTTTGGTGCAGGATGCATAGGGCAGTTTAATTTTTAACCAGTTTAAGGTTTTCCCATTTTATTTATATGTTGTGTGTTTATAAAGTGTCTTTCTTTTTTTTTTTTGCTTATTTTACTGCATGCACTTTATTTACATGCCTGATTTTTTGGGGTCATTGTTGTGCTTTGTATTAATATTTCAGTGCTGCTTAAGATTTACCATAGGCAATATTTTTATTTTAAGAATATGTTGTTTCAAACTTTCTTCATTTTGTTAAATTTTTGAAAAGAGTTGGAGCATGAAAAAGATTTCTTTAAAAATGTAATGAAAGTACAGATAAAGTGCATAGTTGTAAAAAAAAAAAAAAGTGGATTCTTCTTTGTTGTTGTTAAAGTTGAAAAAAGAAATGTGATTTCATAGTTTGTTGTCAACAAGTGTGTTATAATTATGTTGTCAGTAGGTTTATACAATGACATCTTTGACAGAGAGTAAAACATTGGTGTGCATTCAATGTTTAAGGTAAACAAAGATGACTAAAAGCTTATCATCAAAGTTTAGAAATATTTCTGAATCATTTGTTAACTTTAAAACAAAATTGAATCTCATTTTCATTTTCAAAACTTTGCCCATGCTGCAATTTTACTATTTTTCTAATCATGGACAACTTGTGTTTAAAGTTTTCTTTACTCCTTTTTTAGGGATTCCTAAATATACATTTATATTGTGTTATTATTATCATCATCAGGTGTAAATGTCTTAATAACTACAAAAAATAAAACAGGTGAAATATTGATGTATTTTGTTTGTGAATAAGTGACTTAATTTTTCAGTTATGTTTACCTGAACTAAGAATAATTTGTAAGAAACACAGCACTATCCACTCTTACCCCCTCTCTTTCTCCTTGATCCCCCTCCTCTCTCTCTCAAAAAAAGAGAAAAAAACAAGCACTGGTTATAAAACCTTTATGTATACTATCTTTAATAAAATCAAAGTCAAGGAAGAAAATTCACATTCCAATCCGTATCCAGAATGTGAAGGTCAAAAGAGGATTAAGAGTTTCAAGAAGGATTTACGTTGCAGCTATATGACCTCTCATAATTATATTATTTATGCACAATTAGTGATTCTTGTTAATAAATTTGTCCCTAACGTTAGTTAGATAGCATCTTTAAGATACCATAAGCCTGCTTTAATCCTAACCCTGTTTTATTCCATGGGGACATAACTCTGCAGAGTCACAATTTCTGTTTCAATCCGCGGTAGAAAATGACAGGGGTTTCTTGGATTGCCATTGTATATCTTAAAGCAAAATTTTTGACCGCGTTTATAGCATGAATTATTCCCACGCGGAAAAATGTCAGCCTACAGTATTCGATTTCTTTATGTTATTGAATTAATAATACTAGGGCCCAAGAATTTCACAAGGCAACCTTGATCATCATAGATGTGCTCTTAGTTTGCTAAAGAAGGATCTTTTAAAAGAATGTATGCATTTTCACTATGCTATCAATAGAGCTCCACCCTAACTCCAGAACCCCTAACCCAGGGGCCATAATTTCACAATTTGGTAAAGGACTCAATGCTTATTACAAACATGCCAACAGTTTAGCTTCTTAATTGAGAAGATTTTTAAAGATTGCATCAATTTTGATGGTTTTAGCCCTATCCCTCAAGCCCCGGAGGGGCGGGGGTCATGGAATTCACATGTTTTGTTCCCCTTCAAAATTGGTCCTGTGGTTCTACAGTAGAAGCTGAAAAGTGATCAGACATTAAAGGACGACGCACGACGAAGGACATAAAAACAACAATAGGTCACCCTTGAGTGACCAGAGGATGGGTCAAATATGAAGAAGACCTTGACACTTTGTCAGAATTCTTCATTCCTCTTATTCCCAGGCAGTAAAAGGTAAAGTTTCATGTGGGAATAGGTGGAAAACTTGTGCAAACGATTGATTGATTGTATGTTGTTTAACGTCCCTCTCGAGAATTTTTCACTCATATGGAGACGCCACCACTTGCCGGTGGAGAGCTGCAAATTTTGTCCTATACTCGGCACTTACGGCCATTGAACAGTGGGGGATCTTTTTCGTGCCAGCACCTACTGCGACACGGGACCTCGGTTTATACGGTCTTATCCGAAGGACCGGTCTCCACGTCCCACAGTGGGATTCGAACCCGCGACGTAAGGATCAACTCCTTACTTCGCGACTCTAGAGCAGACGCTCTAACCACTGCGCCACGCAGGCGACTTGTGCAAACGAAGGAGTTTACTGTATAATTACATTTTGATTGATGACAGGTCAATTTGTTATTTTTGTAAATTCTTACATCTTTTCATTTACACTTTTTGTTTAAACATTACCTATTCAAATAGATTTACAGAATGTGTATAGTAATCTTAAAGTAAAAAAAAAATATTAAAAATGATTAAATCGGAAAAATTGTCATAAGTTTACATTATCAGTTGACAAAAATTTTAAGTAAATTCAATATATATGTAATATCTTTTTTCTTAACATTATTTATCTTATTTTTTTAAGTTACTAATATTAACACTAAATGTAATTTTCTTTATGAAATCCATTGGAAATCAACTACATTCAATACCCTCTAACATACGCAAATATATATATCCACTGAATATTTTCTCCTTTATTTCTAAAGAAAACTATTGCCGTTTATCAGTTCATGAACAACACTAGGCATATCACCTGTACAGATTTCTTGGTTAGTGGCAGCTGTTCCATCAATGAAACCTACTATGACGTACATATCAATAATACAGTAATTAATCTTTTTAATCCTACTCTAAATGATTATTTATACAGATATAAATATAAACAATAAAATGTCTTTCTTTGGTTGTTAGTACGGGAATTAACGTCGCAGCTATTGCAGAAAAGAATTACATAACCCGCTTACGCAGGTTTTGTATTTTATTGTTTAAAACATTGTCACTGCGCGGTAGAATATACATTAGGAACTACATGTATATGCATTTTCAATTTTCTAGGAACACTAAAATGTGCATTGTTTCGGCTCAATTTAAATAAAAACAATTAACCTATTAGATTATTGTAATATTTACAACCATTCTCAACGATAAATTAAAGATCGACCAGTCTTTTTGACATCACAGATAACTGCTACTTCAATAAAATTGGTAATCGGAAATTTTCATAGAAAGATGCCGAGTTCCTCATTGACATGCTTCGCCTACTTTTTAAATTCACCCAGTTTATCGCACAAATTAAAGTCACATTGTGACAATGTGATATTGATAATGTATTTTAAAAGTGATTGTTCATCTTATTTTATTTTTATTTCACTAATTAAAAACATAACTCACATATGATTTTTGGTCGGACTTGGATATACTCTTGGCTAGAAATATAATATTTGTGGTTTTATTGCCTATTGCAGCCGTCTTTATTTCCGTTCTTTTGAAGGCAGCAACTTTTTGCATAAACGTAGTTCTTCATTTTACTCTTTCGTATAACTTTTATGGAATTTCTGTTTCATCTGATTAAGAATAGATATCTTGTTTCATTTTACAACCCTTTTCTTCAACTCTCGCAACGAATCGTCTTTCCCGCAAAGCTAAATTCTTGAAGATTCTCTCTTAATTGTCTATGGGTGACTTTTCCCCTCGCCTATAAACACAGACACAGTACAGCTTCTGTAACTTGTATTTTCTGTACATTTACATGACTACGTAATGCAAGATGATAATATTTCTCATCTGTTCGACTGCTCTCTATGTTAAAAAAAACGTACTTTTTTCAGCTTAACTTTCTAAAATCAAACATCAACAGATACATGTATACATGTATCTGTCCCACTGCAACATTACATAATTTCAAACCGTTGATGTAAAAGAATTTTCCTTTCAATAATAACAATTTACCGTATTTAAAGATAAGCAATACTTAATTATCCTTCCTTTTGTCATGGTTTCTATCCGCAACTGTGTTCTTTTTCAGCGCTTCTTTTCGACAGAACCAAGACGACTATATGGTAAATGAGCAAAGTACTTCGAAAATACGTATACTCATCTTTAAGAAATACATTTAAAAGATTTCAACCAAATAGTATCAAAGAAAGCTTGATTAATTTAATTTATAAATACCTATGGTAGAATCATATAGTTGTTACATCGTACCATTTATTGATAAACTCCCCTTTGAAACATCGACTTTAAAAATGCAAGATAATGATTTTAAAGCGCATTTTCCTTTGTCATGAGATACCAGATGTATCACAGGGTTATTTGTCGTACTTGAGTTAGATAATGTTAAATGCTTTACATAAAACAACAACAAAGCACAACGCGAAGTAAAAAGAAAACATTTCAACAGTAGTGGCGGAATGCCTACATTTAACTACAATACTTTATTTGACCTGAATAATTTACGTAGGGCTCATATGGCGGGTGTGACCGATTGACAGGTGATGGGACTCCTCCTAGGCACCTGATCCCACCTCTGGAATTAATACCCCGTTCACAGATTTGTGTTGTTTGTGGGTGTTTTTTTAGATTGATCAAGTGGAAGTGCGGGTGCTGTTCGTTATCTTCACCTACACCTTTCTACAAAGACTACGAAAACAGCTCCGCGTACCTTTTTAAGCTCACATGGTTTTTCACACAAATTAAGATCACATTCTTCTTATAAGAATAATTAACACTACACTGAAATATGGAGATAACGAACAGTATTCAAGCTCAAAGTCCATTAAAACTGAGCAGAACAAACACGGACCTTCAAAAACATAAGAGGTGGGATCAGGTGCAATGGAGGAGATATTTTCCAGGTAAGTTTGACTCCCCCTAGAGTGAATGATCTAGTATACAATTAAATAATAAATAGGTTTAAATAACGTTTTATATCTTTAATGAATTTGAAAATCTGTATAACAAACAGATAAATACCAAGTAACAAAATCATAATCCCGGGGAATGAATGTGGCTTGAGAAAAAAAATACTGTGACTAAATAAAAATAAAGAAATAATAATCAAAATTTCGGAAGGGAAGAAAGAAAGATAAGGCAACTCCTGATAATTTGCTTGTTACAAGGTTTGGCTCAGCAGAAGCCCTGAGCACTGTTGTAAAAAAGAAAGTTATTATTAAAATTACACTTTGGTCTTAGTCGTAAGTACTTTACTAAAACTAGTCCCTGCTCTTCAGATTTTCCACTTGCTGATACCCTGGATCTTTAGTCACGTGATGATGACTTTGATTTCTGCAGACTTTGCTGTACGGGCGGTGATGGACAACACAATAATGCAAAGTGAAGAAAAATAAATATCGTTGAGTCATTCGTAGCTGTAGCACATTCAAAATAATTTTTATTAGTTCAACCAACTTTTCAATTTTTATTCAGCAATTTTGCCACTGTAATATTAGTATACGGAATTCGAAAATCTAACTATTTTTTTCATATCTTATACACTTTCATTTTAAGGAGTATCTATTGTACACCCCTTTTAATTTATAAAGTCATAAATTAATAATTATCCTATAAGTAAATGAAAATAAAATTCAGCGATTGAGACTTAAATTAAAGTTTCAAAATATTTTAATCATATTTTCTATACTGATGTTATCATTAACGAATATTTTTTACCGAACTATAAAAAAAACCGGTCTCATTTCCCCAACTGCATTTTCTAACACAACCACAAATAGATCTTCCGCTGCTGTGGCCGATAATAGATAATGAAATAGAGATAATATATACCGATACTATCTTTAATTAATAAAACGTCGTCGATCGATATATCTGAATTTTGAGTTAAAGGCACGACAAGAGTTTTCTTTTTCTCATGACCAAGTTTTTGAATAAATGCTGATCCTCCATTGTGGCCCCGCCCTATCCCCGGGGGTCATAATTTGAACAAACTTGAATCTACACTACCTGAGGATGCTTCCACATACATATGATCAATCAGGGCTTTGCTGTTCCTGAGAAGAAAATTTTTAAACGTTTTTCCATATATATTTCTATGTAAAACTTTGATCCTCCATTGTGGCGCCACCCTTCCCCCGGGGGTCATGATTTGAACAAACTTGAATCTACTCTACCTGAGGATGCTTCCATATAAATATGACTCATCATGGCTTTGTTGTTCTTGAGAAGAAGATTTTTAAGGGTTTTTCCTATATATTTCTATGTAAAACTTTGATCCTCCATTGTGGCCCCGCCCTACCCCGGGGGTCATGATTTGAACAAACTTGAATCTACACTTCCTGAGGATGCTTCCATGTAAATATGACTCATCATGGCTTTGCTGTCCTTGAGAAGAAGATTTTTAAACGTTTTTCCATATATATTTCTATGTAAAACTTTGATCCTCCATTGTGGTCCCACCCTACCCCAGGGGGTCATGATTTGAACAAACTTGAATCTACACTACCTGAGGATGCTTCCATATAAATATGACTTATCATGGCTTTGCTGTTCTTGAGAAGAAGATTTTTAAAGGTTTTCCCTGTATATTTCTATGTAAAACTTTGATCCTCCATTGTGGCCCCGCCCTTCCCCTGGGGGTCATGACTTGAACAAACTTGAATCTACACTACCTGAGGATGCTTCCATATGAGTTTCATCTTTCCTGGCCCTGTGGTTCTTGAGAAGAAGATTTTTAAAAGATATTTATTTTTCACTAATTCTTTATTATCTCCCCTTGAAAGAGGGCGTGGCCCTTCATTTGAACAAACTTGAATCCCCTTCACCTAAGGATACTTTGTGGCAAGTTTGGTTGGAATTGGCCCAGTGGTTCTGGAGAAGAAGTCGAAAATGTGAAAAGTTTACAGACTGACGGACTACAGACAAAATGTGATCAGAAAAGCTCACTTGAGCTTTCAGCTCAGGTGAGCTAAAAAGGTATACAGTCTAATTGTTAATTAAGAATTTGGAAAAATACTTTTAGAGAGCGATTTAATTCAATAAAATATATATTTGGTAGGCAATTGCAAGATGTTACAGCTTAAATTCAAAGTTTAATTAAGTTCTTTTGTAATGCAGACCCCTGTTGTTGTATTATTATGAAGCAGAATTTATTCGAAATCTTTCCATTAGAAAATAAAGCCTTTTGCTGTGGCATTGAATTTGATATTTAGCGATAGATACACATGTATATTGACGACCTTTTATCAATTATATAAATTTATTTTCTTTATTTTCATTCATACGCTGCATGATTCGATGTAATCATAGGGAACACAATGGGCCTTTCACAGGAAAAAGTACGATTCGTTACTTTACTGCTAGACATTCCTCTATTATTTTGCAAATGGGATTTAGATTTTACGTTGAATTTATCTTGAAAAACGCCACTGTCCATATTAGATCGCAGATTTTATTGTTCTGTTCTTCTTGATGTTTGAATTTGATTTATGCCATGTACAATCAATTTAACGTACACAAATGCTTCTTTTAATCTTACCTGTTCTTTCCAGATTCTCCAAGATCCACCCAGGCCAGGCGAAGTTTTCCATATATACTATACAGTATCACCTCTGAATTTCTTGTACATTTCATTTTCAGTATTTTTTTTATATATTATTTGAAAACATACGATATGGAACCCCCCCCCCCCCCAATATGTTTTTAAGAAATTCTAAAGGAGTGTCTAAGAAGAGCATTGTTCGTATGATTGCCCTTGATATAAAAATATTTTCCCAAGTTTCTTCTTGAGGATAATCTGGCTGTAAAAATTGAAAGAATACATTGCTGGAGGGATGTACTATATAACCAGCTAGTTTTTGAAGGGGCTACTATATATAGCCAGGGGGAGTTAAGTACTACAACATCGGTGATTGGTCTACGCCAAACACTAGAAATTGTTCTTTTAAAATCCCTCTGCATGCATGATGTTTTCTGGTTATCTACGTTCACGGTTGTATGCTCGTTTTTATGGAAATCATTCATCTAAAACAAAATTTTGATGCTTTCGTTGTGTTTACACAACAAACGTTTTTTGTCCTTTTATTAAACGAAAACCATTTAGTTGAGTTATTGAACCTTGACCTTGTATGCCTTCTGTTAAGTGTTACTGCTCGTCAATATGATAAACATTTCCCGACATTTCTTTTTAAAAATTTGACAATCCAATAAAAGAATAGTTTACGCCTTATTGATCCGAGTTAGGTTTTGAAACTTTCATTTGGACTTCAGTGTGAAGAAGGCTTTTCTAAGGGCTGCAGGTGTGCTTTCAATAAAAAAAGTCTCAATTAATGGAATAAAAAAAATCGCTCAAAAACATCACTTTGTTGGGGAGAATGGAATTACCATGCCTTTATATTAATGATATATTTGTATAAACTTTTTTGGCTTCAAGAATAGGAATCTGCTCTGTTTCAACTAAAGAAAAAAACAAAAACAAACAAGAAATAGACAAGTCTCATTTTTCTATTGGTTTACTGATGATGCAATAAATCAAGACACAATCAGAATCCTAACATAGGAATCAGCAGGAAATCCAGACACAATCAGAATCCTAACATAGGAATCAGCAGGAAATCAAGTAACGTGTCCATATTGTATACACGCATGCTTCACATACATACAGCGACATCTATCAATATAAACAGCAAGGTTATTGATAATCTGGTTCAATATTTTAATTCATGCAACTTATGATACTATAACTGATTTTCAATTTATAGATATATCTACAACAGCATTGCAATAAATGGTAGAAATTGAGTTTTCACAACATTATATTTGTTTAGATTTCTTTATCAAGTTCCTATATAGCAGTTCTTAAAAAAATAGGAATACTGATCCATTAACATGCTAATAAAATGTTATAATGCCTGTACATAAGTAGTACTAATCCTTGATTTAACAAACATATGGGTTAAAAATGTGTTTACCTATATACAATGCAAAGTGTCTAAACAACAAAATAATCTTTTAAGCAATACAATCAAATATTTAATAATTCGAGATTAATGAATATACTTGAAATAATAAATCATGCTGGAGTTTTATAACGTCTGCTTATTTCATGACCTTGGCGTAACAATTTAAGTAGCAGGTTTCTCTATCACAATATATAGGCACTATTGAGTTTTTTTTTACTGAAAAAATATATACACAGTCGTAAATCTTGATACAGAATAGACCAAACACAAAAGGCTTCTGTGTGACATCACTGTCCATAAAACATGATTTGCAGGAAATTTATATCTATCAATCCATAACAGTCTCCTCATACACTGACCCCTAAATTATTCTTCCATTTAATATCTATATCAAAATGAGATGATGGATCCACATTTTGAGCTACTGTACATTAAGATCTTGTGCAAAAATCATGATGCAACACTGAAAATTTCAAGAAATAAAATGACAATAATTAATCGCTACATGTAGGATTGTTCTAATCTTCGCTTAAATCTTCATAAGATATGTCATCAGCAACATCTAATTCACTGTCACTCACATCTTCATATTTCTGATTTTCTTCAATTTTTATTTCACCATTTGCTATCATTGTTTCCAAATCACCAGACTCATCTAATTTAGCGTTTCCATTATCAACATCACATCCTGGTTCTTTCTTCATTTTTTTAGCAGGAGGTGCATCTTCATCATCATTTTCTGCATTCTCTAACCCAAGTGTTTTTGACACAGCATCGAACTTTTCATCAGGGATATAATTTAGGTCAATCACACAAACTGCACAATTGTTCAGAAGTTTTTCAAACTCTTCTGGATCCATAGTGAAAATATCTGCAAGTTTCACTTTAGGTTCCATATTCACTAACATAGCTTTAGTTTCCATTTCTTGGCTGTTAAGACAACTACTATCACTCTCCTTGACAACATCTATTGGTCTTCCTGGATGTGATCTCTTTATATGGTTTGTTATTGCACTGGCAGTATACTGGGAAAATGTGCAATAAGGACAAGAGAATGGTCGTGTGGCAAAATGATAATCCACATGCGCATTAAAATCCTCATCATCTACTGCTAAGTATGAGCAATAGCCACATTTTAATCTTGATTCTATCTGAGTCCCAGGAACAAGGTATTTAAAGCCATCATGAGTTGCCAAATGTTGCCGATAATGATAAAGGCCACTTGCTCTGTGATCACAAAAGTTACAGTTATACATCAGTTTTCCTGTGTCTTTGAAGTTGTCTGCAAGGAAAAAGAACTGTTTATGTTTAAAATTACAGTGGATATAAATCATACAATTTCCAATACAAATGATTAATATATCATAATTTACCTGCGCCACCACCACCGCCATCATCTCTTTCCTTTCTTTTCCGTGAGTTTGTTTGTTGAGCTTCTTTGTTCCTTGGTGCTGATTTGTCAAATTTCATTCTCAATTTTTTACTTTGCTCCTTCATTCTTGTCTTTGCTGCAGATGCCATTTTTTCATAATTTCTAAACTTAAGATTACCCATCCGTTGCCTTAAATCAACCACATGAACTGATTTGCCTGGGTGCAGCTTTACTATGTGATTTGCAATCTTTGACCTGTCAATACAATTTGAAATTTTCAATATTAACATGCAAAAACTACTTCCCTTACACACAAACACACACAAAAATAACAACAAAAAATAAAAATGAAAAAAAAACACCATCTACTCCAAACCATACTACAGTAAAACTCACCTGGGATAGCACTGAAAATCACAGTATGGACATTTGAAGACATGAGGAACGTGGTGGTAAAAATGGGTAACAATAGTTTTGTTAACAGTACTTTGGTATGGACATATGCTACACTTGTAGATGGTCTTCTGTCTGCGGTTGTCAAATTCCACCTTGTAATTGTGGCAAGGGCTGAACATGTTTTTCAAGTCTCCTCTTGGTTCTTCATCTTCTTCTGATGATTCTTCCTCTTCACCATCTTCATCATCCTCTTCTTCCAATTCCCCATTCTCCTCCTGGTTCTCTAGAACTTCTTTCTTTATTTTCAGTTTTGGAATTGTTTGCAAAGAGGCAGATTCTCCCTTTTTTGACATAGTTTTAGTCATTTTTGTCTTTCTTGTCAATGTTTGATATCTGCTCAAGTCTAACAAGTTTGTTATCTCTTTTTCAACCTTCTCATTTTTGCAGAATGTATATTCAGTGGTTGATTTGTCAGGGTGGATTTTGCTTAGGTGCACTCTGATATTCTTTGACATTTTGCACTTCATGTCACAATGGTTACACTGATATGGATTGTAATTGTAATGGGTGTACATATGTTTTCTCAATGGGCCCCTCTCCGATATTTTTCCACATTTTGGACATCTATACAAAATACAAGGACGTTTATCCAATCCCTTTTCCTGAATAGTCTTTTGAGATATTGCCTTCAACTTCAAATCTTTAACTTTTGTTTGGCTGTGGAAGAGACGTGCATGGCGAAACAACAGGGAAGGTAGATGTGCAGCATATTCCTCACATTCACCACATAAAAGTTTGTTTTCTTTATGCTTGTTCACAAAGTGGTCTCTGAATGCCCTGAGGTCATAAAAATCTTCATTACAAACTGGACAATTCATACTCTGTTGTTCATTTTCTTCACTCCACATTTTCATTTCAGTTGACAGAGGTTTAGATATTGGTGATTTGGCTAACGTTTTTACTCTTAAATGGAAGCGACCTTTTTTCTTTCCAGTCTCTTCTTCATCTGTTTTGGATGATTTTGGCAATTTATCACTCTCATTGGAAAACAAAGTTAAAATCTTGCCACTTAAAGGTAAATCAGTAACTGTTGCCGTTTTGTGGGAATTTTTCACATGCTCTGCTATGTTTTCTTCATTTATACTGGTAAAATCACACTCAGAACATCCTTTGAGAGGAGTGAAGCATTTTGCATTAATGTGTTTAGATAAGCTAGATTTCCGTTCAGAAATAAATCCACACTCTTGGCACTGGAATGAAATTGGCTGTGGTGGTGTCCAAATCACTTTCTCTTTCGGTTTGATTTTATCAACATGGCAAGATTTTTTAGGAGAATTGCTATTTTCTGTATATATCTTGAATCGGATTCTCTCTCCAGGATGGCAATTTTGCATGTGATTTTTCACACCTCGGCTACATTTTGCTCTGAAAGAACATGTTGGACATCCGAACTTTTTAAACAAAGCATGTGTATATGTATGACGCACACAATTACCTCTTGCATTTGTTGTGTAACTACAGTTTGAGCATTTCCATGAATCTCCTTTTTTTAAGACTGTTGCTATAGCCCCTTTAGATTCTTTTTCTTTCACTGTTTCTTCACTTGCAAGTTCCTCTGTATTCTGAATTTTGTTCATTTCTTGCTCTTGTTTCATGACAGTTATAGGCATAGTATGTTTTCTAATCTTGCCATTAATAGCACATAATACAGGCTTTGCATCTCCATTGAGCTTATGTACATCTTTTATATGGTCTTTAATCACCTTTTCCTTGTCACTTTTAAATTTTCTGGTTTTACAAGCTGAACATCTCCATATGGGTCTCTTGCATTTGGTTTCACGGATATGTTTATATATTTTTCTTTTTCCTTTAAATGTCATCTTACAAAGCAAACATTTGTAAACTGATCTATATCCTACAACAACTTTTTTCCCTTTTCTGTCATTGCTCTCTATTTCTCTGGTATCTGCCTCAGTTTTGATCTCTACTTTGACATCTCCCACTTCTTCATTCTCAGCTGAAATAACCCTTGATTCTTCATCAGGACTATCCAGAATTTGTTGCATCAAGTTGGGTGCAATGTACTGAGAATCCAACTCCACATCAGTCTTGTCGTAAGAAACTCTAACTTCCTCTCCTCTATGTTTCATATGTATGTGCTTACAAATATCTGACTTGTAATGAGATCTTTTATCATCACAGTATGGACAAACAAATCTTTTCCTTGAGCAATGTGTCATTGCATGCCTGACCAAGATGTATGACTGGATGGCCTGTTGATTACAAGCAACACACTTAAAATTGTTTCCAATGGAAATTACGCATTCTGGCAGTTTGTTCTTTTCAGGAGTTGGTGGCAGTTTTTCATTCAACACTGGCTGTTTCAAAATAATTGGAGAAGAAACATTTGTAGAAGTGGCTTCATGTCTGTTTGCAGATCCATCTGACTCTTGATTTGCAGGAGGTGAAATAACTGGAATGTTTAGAATAGGTTTCTCATCTGGAATGGATTCACTCTCACCCCAATATTCTTTTGCTTTCATACTGTGGATTGCTCTATTTATTTCATCTTCAATATCCTCTAACTTCACCTTTGAGTGTTGAATTGGTTTCCGATGTGTTTTTTGAATGTGTGTAACCATTGAAGAATTTTCAAGTTCCCCATGTTCACAATAATTACACTTGTAAAACGAAATATTCATGTGCTCTAAGATGTGCTTGTGGAGGGTGTATTTATCTTCAAAAACGTCACTGCACATAATGCATTGAAACATAGGTTCATCTTCTTCCTTAGAAAAGCAAGGCTGAAGTTTCTTGTGCAGTAGATCTCCACCTAAGAAAAACATATTTGACAGCTTTATATTTGCTCCACTTGTTGACTTAACTGCAACTTGCTTCCTCTTTGGAACAAGGAAATCAGATTCAACATCAACATCTTCCTCACTTTCACTACTAGAATCCATTGTTCTCAATCGTTTATTAGTTTCATTCTCAGAACCATTCTTTCTTTTTCCAAATTGAAACTTTATAAGTTCTCTTGTGGATTTTTCCTGGGGATTTGCTTCCTTCCTAATACCCTTTCTCATCTTTGGTTCCAAATTTGGATGACTTTTTACATGTCTAAGTAAATCTAGTCTTGTTTTTGTTTTGAACGGACACTCACAACACCGAATAAAATCTTTGAAAACATTTCCTGGTGGAATATAATATGTTTTTTTTGGACCAGTAAATTCTATTCTTTGTTTTTGCTTGACTTCCCCTGCAGCTGATGACTTAGTCACCATCAAATGAATACTTGTATGCTGAATAAAACTATCTATGTCATCACAACTGAATGAACAGCAATCACAGTGATGTTTGTCAATAGATGCATCCATGTTCGAACCTTTAAATTTTCCTGACTTGTGCCTTGATACATGTGCTACATATTCTCTCTTTGACTTGTAAATATTCTCACATATTTCGCAAGCATACACATTCACGGTAGTTTTAAACAGTCTCGATTTAAAATCCTTAAGCCAATCTGCCCCTCTATGGCTTTTTTGCAAATGGTTACCAATTTTTTCTCTGATATTAGTTTGGTAATTACATAGCTCACACATATAAATGGTAATTTCGTGATGACCTTCATGAAGATTAATATGTCTTTCAAATTTCACAATAGAGTCACTTGAAGATGGGCAGACTGTACAACAAAATGGCCTGCTTCTGTCATTGGGTCTGATGTGTTGAAGCCTGTGTCTCCTAAGAAGTGAACTGCTTCCAGCCAAGTAGGAACATTTGCTGCATCGCAGTAAAGATCCTATTCCCAACTTAACTCCTATCTTCTCAACAGGCTGTTTTTCTTCAAATTCTCCAACAGTATTCATACTAACAAAAGGTTCTTCAGCCTCATGGTTTTCATGTGGTTTTGGTGCTTCATTTTCTTCAGAACTTTCTCTTCTCTCAATTTTAATTGCTTGATTATTAGTAAAAGGTTCTGGTGAATTCTCCTTTTGGTGTTCATTATTTGGCACTGGTGAAATGGGTCTAGGTTCTGGAGATACAGGTTTTGGTGCAGTGTAGGAATTTAATTCCCTTTCTTGACAAATAAGTTGTGCTGTAACAGTAATCTGTCTTGGTTTGCCTGGATGGATGGTAGAAATGTGCTTCAGAATGATTCTTCTATTTGGATCTCGTGTTGTACAATATGGACATAAGACAAACTGAAGTTTATTAGCTTCACAATGGCCAATGAGTTCATCAATGCTGTTGAACACTTCCTTGCATGAGGAACACATGTAAGACTGCAGTGTTGAATGAACTTTTTCTAAATGCTCCTTGAAGTGTTTTAAAATATTGGTAGCATACTTGCAGCCATCTCCACATTTAAACAGCAATCCTGACTGATTTTTGGCATGGCAAAATATGTGTCGGAAATGACATTCATCAGTATAGCTTTTGTGACCACAGTGTGCACATTTAAATTCTTTAGCACCCGAATGCATGTTTAGAGTATGTTCCCTGAAGTCTGTTGAGGTTAATCCAGCAAATCCACATCCCTGAAATCCACACTGATAAAATTTCATAGTTGAAGCACTCCCCTTGTTTTCATCTGCCTTGGCTACTTTTTCAACTTGTTCTTTTAAACAGGTCGACTCACTGGTTTGATTTCCATTTACTGAAGAATCACATCTTTCTTCAAAGAGCCTTGATTCTACTTCATTATTCTCACGTGATTCATCTGCAGTTACCTCTTCATCTCTACTAAGCCCATCCTCAAATGGTGCTTTTTTGCTTCCATCAGGATGGTCCATACTTTTTGTTTTTTCTAATTCAGAATCTTTTATTGCACCTACTTCATCTGATGATTCTCTATCCGGAGACAAATCTCTGAACATTTCTTTTTCAAAACCTATCCTTGCTATTCTACTTTCCTCGTCTTCTTCATCTGCATGCATCACTGTTTGATCAATATTATCTTCATTTTCAGGTTCTGATACATTGCATGCAGGTTCACTCAAGCTAAATGTACTGGTTATTCTAATTTGCAGATCATTTTCACCATTGTTCAAATCAGAATTGTCAATACTTGAAGTTGGTTGGACAACTGGAAGAAGTTCTTTTACATGACTGTCCTCCTCCTCATCATCAGAGCTTAGAACAATTTGTTCCGATGCCTGCATAATTTTCTTGGCTTCAGATGATAACTTTCTTTGTGCCTCAGCTGCTGCTGCAGCACATCTTAATCCATGCATAATTTTAGACACCAGTTTGCATGATATGCTAGGTTTATATTCAAAGTGTTCTCTCAATTTACACATATTTGGGTGTATGTGTGTCCATATGTGTTTCAAGAAGTTTTCTTCCAAATCAGATTTAAAGTCACAACTTTTACATGAGTATGTATTTCCTGACTTTTTGAACAGTAGTTGATGATCTGGTTTATTTGAATTACCATCATCTTTAATTGATAATTTCAATGAGGCAGAATCCCCGTTAATTCCAGAAGAGACAGAATCCAATTGTTTCTTTTTCACATTAGAATCAGAAGATGGCATATCAAACTTGGTTGGAAGGCTTTTCTGTCCTTGGTTATTCTGAGCAAAGCTTTTGGTTTGATGAACACTTGCAACTGGGGGGTTAGTTCCAGGAACCACAATTAATCTTTGTGTTTGGTTGTTTGATATAACAGCATTAGCATTTGGTGGAGCAGGACTGATATTTACAAACTGGCCAACTGGGGGTCTGCTTACAGGGATTAGCCTGGAACCAATTTGTCCCTTTCCTGTCTGAAGCGAATATGGACCTGTCATAACAGTTCCTGGACGTATCTGCTGGTGAAGTGGAACTTGCACTGAATTTACTGGAACAAATATCACTGGCTGAGGTTGGCTTCTGACAACATTGCATAAAACTGGTCCTCCAACAGCTGGCCCCTGATATGGCATTGGCTGAGCAATAACTGCCTGAGGAACTGAAGTCACATTCACTGGCAAACTTGTACTTGTTATTGCAATAGCTCTTGTTTTTGATATACCGGGTGAAATTGTGCTTGCAGACAATACTGGTTTTCGAGAAATGATGCTTGGAGGCTGATTAACTTTTGACAGATTAGGAACAGAAAGAATTGTTGTGGTACTGGGTCTTTCTTTCGCAATCTTGTTTTCTAATTCCTCAACAGTTTTTGGCAATTGGCTTACAGCTGTTGACTCTTTATTTGCTGGAATTTGTGAAGATTCCTCTTTTTGATCAATCATGGACATTAACATTTTCTTGTTAAGCTGCCTTCCAAAAAAGGTTATTTCTTTTTTAGTGTAAAGTTCCTCTATGATTTTGTTGATTTTCTTGGATCCTCTTAAGCCACACTTAACCATTTTGTTTGAATGCAATTTTTTCACATGCTTTTCTATATCTTTTTTTGAATCATAGGTTGTCATGCATGAAAGGCAAATATATGGGTCTGCAAGAATATGAAAAGCCACATGTTCCTCAAATTTTTTTCTTTGTGGTGAAACAAAGAGACAATTTTTACATCCGTATTTTCCATCTGCTGAATACATAAGGTGAATTTCTTCTCTCCTTGTTTTTTGTTTATTGCAAGAAGACATATGGGTGTCAAGCAAATCTTTCTGGTCAGTTGTGAAAAGACAGTGAGGACACCTTACTAATCCAACAGTTGACCAAGCATCTTCTGTAGTTCTCTTTTGTGAAGAACCTGACTGAGCTCCTGTTTGGTCAGTGCTAGTTTTGCCACTTTCAGGTAACTCTCTTTTTGAAGAACCTGACTGAGCTCCTGTTTGATCAGTGCTAGTTTTGCCACTTTCAGGTAACTCTCTTTTTGAAGAATCTGACTGAGCTCCTGTTTTGTCAGTGCTAGTTTTGCCACTTTCAGGTAACTCTCTTTGTGAAGAACCTGACTGAGCTCTTGTTTGGTCAGTGCTTGTTTTGCCACTTTCGGGTAAGAGCTGAGACTTACTAGATGAATTAACAAATTCTTGCAAAAGTGTCTGTATTTCTTCAACATCATCTGCAGACTCTTTTTCAGATTTAGTACTGCCATTATTGTCTTTCTGATTAGCCGCTTCATTCTTATCTCCAATTTCATCTACAGAAATAACTGTTTTATTTTCATCATGCTTCCTAACTGTGTCAATAGTTTCTATCTTTGCATTATTTTCTTCATCAATCGAATTACTTTCTGTCTGAGTTGGTTCATTGTTTTCTGTTCTTGGGACATCTGATTCATTGTTTTCTTCAATATCTATTACAAGACTCTGTGAATCTTCACCATCTATCTCCAATTCAGAGATTTGATTTTCTGGCAATTCAACCCTTTCTTCACTTTCTTGTTGTATCTAGAATAAACATATTAAGTCATAAAGATATGATTATTCGGAATCTGTAAGAGGTCCATGGGCCATTTTGAAAATTAAGAATGCTAAATGCATTCTGTGTATTTGTATGAATTTCAAATTCTGCTACTAATAGCAATAGAAATTTACAGTAAAACAAGTTTACAGCAAACATGGCTATTGCAAATCCATTCCTTGAAGTTTTTTTTAAACAGTACCAGAAATTTGCGAAAAAATTACATACCTGATCGAATATCTTTTCCTTTTCTTCTGCTGAACGTGTTGTAGTTTCCTCTTCATTGCTAAATTCTTTTTCTGAAGAAAAAAAAGTGTCTTTTAAAAAAAAAAAAAAGACAAAACATAGCAACCACCAATTTTTTTTTACAATGAAATCAGAAATGTGAAAGTGGACCAAGTATGCCATTTACCCTACACTACAGTCAGTTGTTCTGTAACAGTTCTAATATGAATTTTATTCCCTGTAGTTTTAAACAGTCCTTTGAAATTTCTGGATATAACGTATCTAATTGCTCATCTCTCTTATTTTGTTCTGAGCATGCTTTACTGTAATAGAAACTGTTTGAATTTTTTTTTTTAATGCAATTGCCAGTTTTTTAGCTATGCAATTGACCAGTCATTAAAACTTTGAAGTCAATTTTTGAACTTTCATCCAAAATATTTTTATAAATGATTAATAATGAAGCATTTTTCTTAATGTCATTGGCTGTTAAACTTTAAAAAAACTTAGAATCATCAGGTGATGGAATTAAAAAAAACATTTTTGGCAGTTGAATTCTTGTACAGTGTCATCTATTTAGCAGAATGTTTTTGCACAGTTTTGCAAACTTGCATATTTTTTAAAAAAACAACTTTGCTTGAAATTATTTCCTCTTACTTTAAAAAATTGATTTCAAGGAAAAAAAATCAACCACATTACTAACCTTGAACATCCTGATTTTCATCTACATTATCCTCTGACATGACAACTCTCTGCTCACAGTCTGTATCCTTCATTACTTCAACAGATTTTTCTTCGGACGTTATTGATTTCTCATCAAATTTTTGAACATCACTATCACCATTTTCATCTCCGTTTGAACCTTTCTCTGGCATTTCACTCAAATTTTCATTGGTGTCAGGAAAATTAAGCCCCAAATCACTGTTACTTTCATCATCATTCTTTTCCTTTTCTGCCTCCTCTTCCACATATTGTTGCACAACAGATAACCCCTTACTTCCCTCACCAAGGGTTTTATCACCTGTGTGTAAAACAGGGTTCATAATCTGATCAGTAGGATTAATTTCAGAATCACTGCCTTTGACATTGTTCACTGGTTCTTCTGTGGTTTCATCTGATGAAGTTGTTTTCTGAATACCTAAGGTAACTTCAGATGATAAGGAATTTTCAGTCTCTTTATCTTCGGTAACTTTATCATTTACTGAATCTGATGGTTGCACCTCTTGGTTTTGAATGATCTTTTCAGTTTCTTCAATTGTCACTTGCGAATTTTTCATCAGATGTGTTTCATCTTTTTTCATCTCATTTGATTTCTCATCAGCAGTTGAAGAAATTTCCTTGTCTTTTTCACCATCTGTCTTTTCATCCTTTTCAATGCATTTAAAAGCATCAAATATATTTCTTTTACTTGATCGGTCCAGCTTTCCATCAGTTATACCTTTAGTGAGTTTTGTTTCCCTGCTTGTAATACTTTGACAACTTTTGTCCTCACTGACCGAGCCACCATGATGTTGACCATCTACTTCATCCTGTGATTCATCCATATTCAATTCTGTAACAAAAAATCATACTTTAGTTTGCTGGTTTTTTTTTTACAAATAAACTCTTAAGGACCCTCTATACATTAGAGGAAAATATTTTTTGGACACTGAGAAAAGTATAGTGTGTAAAGGTGTAAGTATTGAGCTTATCTATCACATTTTCAACTTAGGGTGCCTTGCATTTACCCCCAGGAAAAATGTTTATAGACGATGAAGTACTGATGAACATAAATCACTGTTGTTTACTTAAGTAGGCTAAATACCTTCAAATAATGTGTTCTATCTATTCATCTTGGCCTATTAAGGTGTTATAAATGCTTGATTTGATCACAAATTAAGTAATAAACTGTACGTTTCAATTTATTTTATTCTTGATCAAAGGGCAGATCACTCTAACTGCATAAAAATACCACAAAATCATAACTCTCTAGTGTATGCAGTGTAAAGAGGGCTCTTAAAAGCACAACAACTCATCTGACAGAGATTAATTCATTGAGAATACTTTTTCTAATAATAGTTCAAATGCAATCCTAAACAATTTTAAAAGACAAATCAAACAACTTATTGATTTAAGTAACATTTCAATGTTGGAATGCTGATTCTTTTTCAACGTAAAGTCTTTCAATATCTATAAATAATCAAAACAAAATAAAAAGTGGAACATTATCATTTATAATATTTGCCACTTATTGTACTTTCAAATTAATTTGCCCCCCCCCCCCCTCCTCCCCCAATACCACTGCCACACACAAAATTGCAAGCCTAAATAGAATTATGTATCTTGATGTTGTCTACATATGTATCAAGTTTCATTGAAATCAGATCAATGACCAGAGAATTAGCATTTCAAGAGAATTATACAGAATGAGATTCTTCTCTGTTTTTTAGATTATACTCGTCTGTTTATTGGCAAATAATCACAATGGTTTTAATTTCACTATGTTTGCAATTCATCATTTTCTTGTGAAATTAAACCCATCGTGAATGCTATCCTAAGTTTTTACAAATGTTTAAAAGCTTATACGAAATTTAATTTCTTGCAGCATGAAATTTAAAGCATCATGATTGGTACTTTTTTAGAAATTGTGAGATTTTTACACCGTGGAATTAAAAGGACTTACAGTATATCCTAACAAACTATATCATAGCACGATAGCATTTTGAAATAATAAAACTGACTATTTACTACAACAGACATGGCCTTCTTGTTTCTCAGAATTAAAAGCAAAAGGCCCATGGGCTTTATTGGTAATGGAGGTTTTCATACTAATGTTAGTTGTCTTTTCCCTTTAATCTACTTCTTTGAATACTTGAAAGCCTCTAAAATTCTCTACAAGAATCCCTTTTCCCAAGGATGCTTTGTGACCTATTTGTTTGAATTGTCCCACCGGCAATGGAAAAGAAGTTGAAAATGTGAAAACTTTACAGACAGCTGATTCCAGACAGACCACTGACAAAGCTCATTAGAACCTATGGCTCGGTTGTGTTCAAAATATGACCATAATAGCAGCTCAAGATCCCCTGTCGGTTTTCTACTTGTTGATGAAATGTTAAATTCTGTTAATGTTTGTTATATTCAGGTAACAAAAAATAACAATCAAAATTTCTCCTGCTGCCACCATAGTTTTAATGGCAACTTGCTCTGATGAGCAGTTACAATGGATTACATTCTATTTTTTTTCTTTTGTTCAATTAACTTATTCTGTTTTCATCAATCTTGTGTCCAGAGGTACCATTAATAAGTCCTGTTTCTGGTTAAGACAGATGGGAACTAGTTGATACACTTTTTACAGCAGAAATTTAGAATTAGTCATATGATAAACCAATGTTTACCAAATGTCTGTATGATTTACATATATGGATAGATAATCTCTGGTATCTCAACATTGACAGGACTATCTGAAAAAGTAGAAATTCCTGAAGTCTTATACATATCAGTGTTGAGATTCAATATCCAAGATTTTTTGGCAAAAATAAGTTTATTACAAACACAATTGGATCCAAAAAGTCTGCAGAAAATGGTGATTTTGTTATTTTGAAAAAAAGTCTTTCAATATTCATGTATGCTAAAAAGTTAAGAAATTCCAAGTCAAAGGAGCTTGGCTTTGATCATTTCAATTTCAATTTTATGTAAAAAGTGCCATCTTAAAAAGTGTTGAAAGGTGTACACAGCCCAAGGTTAAAAGTTTTTAGATTTAAATTATCATATTTTTATAAAACAAGTTAAAAGTAAAAAATAATTTAAATGCATCTTTACTAAGATGACTAATGTCATTTTCTGATGTTGTTGATTTCCTTATCTAGACACACCATTTGACACAGAGAAAATTACTGAAAGAAATGATTGGAATATACAGATGAACTAATTCTGATATCTCGAATACCATGGATATGTCAAAGTGATTTGGAAGACCCAACCACTTATTCCTCAAGTATTTACCCTCAATATCTCTAATCCTTTGATATCCCAAAATTTTTTCTTCGACAGATCAAGTTCGAAATAATGAGGTTTGACTGTATCTACCTTATATACTCGCCTACAAGTTGGTTTTTAAGTTAAACTTTGGTCCAATACTCTATCCAACTTACACGTGAGTTATAAAAAGATTGGTATTTTAGCGGGTCAATCTCTGTAATTTAAACTTTAAAAATGCAACCGACTTATAGGCAGACTGACTTATGGGTGAGTATATACAGTAGTTCATTGAATTTCAAGCTGCATACATTGTTTTCAGATGATGTGTACAATTTTTGAGATGCTACAAGTTACTTGATAAATGATCCACCTCTGCATTTCAAAGGTGATGGTATTAGTTTCATACTACGGACCCATTCGAATTTCTTCAAAAAGTGAGATTCCTCCTGTTTGATATGATATTAGAACAAGAGGCCCACGGGCCTTATAGGTCACCTGAGAATCATGCAACAACTTTCCAATAATTGAATTTGGTTCATGTTTTAAACAAGAGGCCATGAAAATTCACAATTCTGAATGAGGCACCATTGCTAATCATAACTACACACTTAGCATGCTTACTTTGATTACTTTATACCCAGAGGCAGATAAGAGGAACAAAGAAAAATGCATATCCACTATATAACCAGTAGTGCCCCACCCCACAAGAACCACTGACCCTAGGGCCACATATTTCACAATTTTCGAAAAGGCACCTTTGCTCGTCATAAATGGTTGATTAATACCAAACAGCAGATTTCAAAGCATTAATTCATTTTCAGTATATGATCATTAGAGCCCCCCACCCCCACCCCCATGGTACCCCCGACCAAGGGGCCATAAAATTCATCATTTTGGAAGAGATGCCATTCTTCATTATAACTATGTACTTAGATCATCATCATAATACCCAGGAGCAGAGGAGAAGATTTTCAAAGAATTAATGCATTTTCACTTTATAATCATTAAAGCCCTGCCTAACACCAGAACCCCTGACCCAGGGGCCTTGAAATTCTAAATTCTTGAAGAAGCACCACTGCTCATCATAACTATGTAATTAGATCATTGGTATTATACCCAGGAGCAGAGGAGAAGATTTTCAAAGAATTAATGCATTTTCACCAAATAATCAATGGAGCACCACCCTAACATCAGAACCCCTGACCCAGGGGCTGTGAAATTCACAATTTTGGAAGAGGCGTCTTTCCTCATCATAAGTTTGTACATAGTTTATCGGCTTAATACCCAGGAGCAGAGGAGAAGATTTTTCAAGAAATAATATATTTTCACTATGTATTCAACACAGCCCAGCCCTAGCACCAGAACCCCTGACCCTGGGGCCATGAATTTCACAACTTTGGTAGAGGGCTCATTGCTTTTTACAATCATGCCAACAGTTTGACTGCTTCATGTCCAGGAGTAAAGAAGAAGATTTTTAAAGATTGCACTAATTTTAGTGGTTTTGGCCCCACCCCTCAGGCCCCAGGGGGGCAGGGACCATGAAATTTGAAAATTTTGTTTTCCTTCACCCATAGATGCCATATGCCAAAATTGATTGAAATTGGTTGAGTGGTTTCAGAGAAAAAGCTGAAAATGTTCAAATGTTAACACACGACACATGATGGACAAAAACAGATAGCAATAGGTCACCTGAGTGACTCAGGTGACCTAAAAATGAACAGAACAATTATGGGATAAAAATCCAGTGAAGCACAGTGCTTGAGGAGAGAAATGATGTGCAACATATGAGTATCACTATGATGCTTAGCAACTAGCAAAGAAACCCTACTTTTGATTTCTACAGTGCACAGGATTTGGTTGCACGAACGTTAGTTAAATTAACTCCCAGTTAGTGTCGTAACTAGCTGTTAAATTTTTAACGACGAGTTACGTAACCGTCAGTTAAAAATAGGTTGTTCGAAAGTCTATTAAAATAAATTAGCTAACTCACATTTAATTGATGTCTTATAGTTAACTCTCTGTTAAAATCTTTCCACACGCGCATTTCCCTTACTATGGTTAAATAGATCTGACGTCATAATTAAAATGACGTCAATTCATAAAATTAATGTTAAAATTTGCTAAGGCTATTAAATAAATTTTACATTAAATATTAATCTTATATTGGTAAAATATATTGAATATATTATTAAAGATAGTTACTTCAAATATGAATTTTTACATTGAACAATAGTCAATTTATTTGCAATATAAACAATGCAATTACAATTAAAGTATGTACATGTAGTTTTCTGTATTAAATTCTATTAAGAGGCATTGGTTTTTTTGGGAGGGAAAATTGAAA